TTCTGCAGGCCTGGAGTGCTGGGGATCATGCATCTGCTCCGTGCTCCCTTGCTGTCATCTGTCTTCTGCTCCATCACTAGACCAACTTTATTTTCTTAGCTTAACCTTTAAGTACAAAAGGTCTTTGGTCCTGTGGGGTTTGGGTTTTCCTCTGGAAAATGCCTCACTTTTTTATTTTGGTTTTGCTATCATCTTCAAAAACCTGAAGGAAGCGCATGTAGAAGCTCAGTTGATTAAGGTACACAGCCAGTTTTTGTGTTGCTTTGCTCCTTTCTCTTGGCTGTGAGACTGATGCTCTGTTTGCCTTGTATCATGTTTTAAATATGAAACCTTTTTGCATGTTGTTATTCTGTARCATCAGCCTGGCTTATTCACCAAAGCCTAAAAAATTTATTCTCATTGTAAATATTCAGAGCAGGAATCTGTGTTCCTGGCCCCGTATGTTTGAGCTCAGTTGTGTTTCTAAGCAACTTGCAGAAATGTGCTTTTGGCAGCTGCTCTGGATGATGCTTCTGGGGTGGCTGTGTGTGCTGTCGTGTGTTCCCTTCCTTCTGCCCTGGCCAGAGCTGCTGCACGGCCTCAGGCTCAGCGAGGATTTGCTTCTGGCTGTGTCACTGCYACTGCCAGTCTGGGGAATGGCAAATCTTGTGGGGGAGTCTTCCCCTTGGATCCACTCAGATTCCTTCAGGCTTTTCCCTTGGTCAGGGTTGGTTTGGTTTTGTCAGAGGGACCAAACATGAGCTGTGTTGTGTGAGTGATTCCATTTTTTGTGAATCAAATTTCAGACTAATCTTGTGCCTGAAGAAATGGCATCAGGACCAAGCCTTTGGGTGTGAGTGATCCTCAGCACAGCCTGTGTTTGCTTTTGCCTTTGCTGAGTGCCAAAAATCCTGCTCTGAAAGAATAATTAAAAATAATGCAAGGTTTTAATTTTAGAACTTGTATCAATGTAATATTCCCAGCAATATTTCACAGTTCATGTGTTGTGAGAAGTGGTCTTTGCCTCCCAAACKGAGCTGAGCAGAACATGTGCACTGTTGTTAATGTGGCACTTTCCAAATGGAGAGCTCAGGTGCGGGGGAATTCTGTTCAAACAGAAACWGCTTTGCTGTGGCTGGGAGGTTGTACTGGTGGCAGTGGCTGAACAAGGAACAAGGCAGAAAGTCTGCAGTGGTTGTTGGGTGAAGTGGAGGCATGTGAGGAGAGGGTCGTGTCCCTGTAGCCATTCCCTGTCCCTGTGGCCATTCCCCGTCCCTGCAGCCATTCCCTGTCCCTGTGGCCATTCCCTGTCCCTGCGGCCATTCCCTGTCCCTGCGGTCATTCCCTGTCCCTGGGGCCATTCCCTGTCCCTGTGGCCATTCCCTGTCCCTGCGGCCATTCCCTGTCCCTGCGGTCATTCCCTGTCCCTGGGGCCATTCCCTGTCCCTGNCATTCCCTGTCCCTGGGGCCATTCCCTGTCCCTGGGGCCAATCCCTGTCCCTGTGGCTATTCCCTGTCCCTGTGGCCATTCCCTGTCCCTGTG